GCTAACGTTTCGTCGATATTCGCATTCCTTATGTTTTCTGAGCCCACGGAAAGTCAAGTTTCAGTTACATTGTCCATTGTCACCATCTTTCTAGAGATGAGTTCACATGGCGAAGGAAGAAGAAAAACGCCCGGAATGAGCACATTCTTCTTCCCATGTGAACACTGGGAGAACCCTCATCGCATGAAGAAACCCCGAAACGAAAGAGAGTGGGTATTCTGCATGTCACTATGTCCCCCTTCAGGCACCGGAAAACACGAAATCTGTCGATGAGCTAGCCATAGTAGAAAAAGTACTCAGTGCTCTACAACTGAAACTTTAACTTAGGCACTAGATAAGCTATTCTGGTTGATACTTCGTATTTAACTTCAATGATGCTGGGATATTTGCAAAACTCCTGACCGCAGGTGTCTGCGGTGGGGAGCGAACGCGCTATTGCCCTTTCCGGGGAGTAACGCGTTTACCACCGCACCATGCGGGTCCTTCATTTCGCTTGTCTGTCAGCCAGCTCTATTGACCTTTTGCCATCAGCAATTACCCGTCGGCGGGATTGATCTGAGGAGCCCAAATCGGCATTGAACCCAGTTAAGCTGAGGCTATTTCATATTTATACGTTCGTTCGAAGTCGATTTTGTGAAACACTTGTGATTTGGTGCCGATTAAACCGCTGAGGCCTTAATGATGATTCGAAAGTTCAAAAATATTAAACCCACACTTCATTCTGCAGCCGGTGAAGTTTTCATTTGTCTTTTTTCTATGAAAGTATCGGTTGGCTTTTTCTGAAAAATGATGCGTTTGTTCTTGAATGACTTTCTTATCAGTTTAGAAGAACGAAACTTATAAAACTGGGTAACTGAAAAAGCCAATATTGGGTTTTGTAAATTTATACTAATTACACTAATACCTGTACCTAATATTGAATCAGTTTCAAAAGAGTCCCAACCGCATCAAAACAACGAACTCCACCCGTCGATTCCCAGCGCTGTAAGTGGCGGAAACATTGCAAACTTAGATAAAAAGAACCAGATAAAGTTCAGATTCTTTCCATGGCGTACTTCTGAGCACCCTCATAAAGACTTTTGCTACTAGTCGAGGCGTTAAAGTTAAAAATTTCAATAAGAGATTTTTCTTAAAGGTCACATCCTGAGGGTCGAGCAGCGGTTTATCATTTTTTACCTTAGACACCTTCATGGTTTTAATAAAGATTCCATGACTACAGCAGAGTTCACACGCAATTTTACAAATCACCCACAAAACCGTTCCTTCCTCGTTTGCAATTCGTAAGAACTCTTTAAAAGGAACTGAGGATTGAACGACTATCACAAGAAGATTTTTCTACGGCAAAAATATTCTATTTTTCTCTCAGATTTACCTTCATTAATATTCAAGAATCTTGGCAGCCGTGCATCTTTCTTTTTTTATGGGAAGAAGTCATTAATTGGATATCTGTTCAGGACTCTCAAGTGAAAATGGATCAGCAGGACAAATTCATGGCCATCACAGCATCCTCGCTTCTGTTACTTTTCTCCTACTCATCTCCAATGTTTGGATGCGGCGTAGCTCCAGGATAACAAAGTATAGAATCATCGTTAGAACAACTCTCTTCACTCGTTTTTCTACTTCAAACCAGTGTCATCCCCCACATTTGAACCACATAAGACAAGACAATGTACCTGTTTCGTTCCGAAAGAAGACTTTGCATTTAATCTGGGAGTGAATAATCAGCATTTTCTTAAAATGTTGAGCATCCAAGCTAGTCTAAAAGCAGTTATGCAAGAAAATACTTAGTAACTATTTGTAACGGAATTTTATCGGAAGTAGAAGTAAACTGAGTCCCAACGAATCCATAGGGCGGCGGCAGAATTTGGATAATAGTGGATTGTTGACACCTTGGCTTTCCAATCTTTTTCCAATCTTTGGCCGAATTCCTTTAGCCGAAGTGTTATAACCTTTCGTTGAGTCTCCACTTACTCAACGAGATGCTGGAGGAAACAGAGCGATAAATTCCTTTAAAAAAACGATAATGGTCTAATATTCCCCGCCCGAAATAAACCTTATATAAGCTTGAAATTGGTGATCTTTCCAGTTTTCTGCTTTCCGGGTAGAATGAAACCATTCAAAGCCAGCCAAATCAGTCCAAACAGCCGTCCGGGCTAGGGTCCGTCATTTTGCTGCCGATAAACTCCGCCTCCTGGCTGGCTCTTATGAGCACCTGAAGGTTTAGTGGCCATATTCTGTCCTCATGCTATTATTGCTTGCCAGTGTACTACTTCCTTATTCAGGTTTGTGCAATGATCCTGATACTTTTTACTCGCAACCAAAGTTTAGTGTTGCCTTTCAAGGTGACTAGACGTCTGCTTAAGTTTTTAGTATAGTAGATTATCATGTTCTATCAGATTTGCAACCTTCAGTTTCCTTCACCTACTCATTTACGACATTTTAATGTTCATGCTGTTCTCTTCAAAAATGAAATTCCTTCATTAATCTATTGTTGCTCACGATATCGTCGAATGCTTCCGCGACCAATTCACATGCACACATTTGGCCTGCTTATGCTTGCCGACGCTAAATCTTAAACGATGCACTACTGGCAATTATTGCTGTTGTGGTTCATTAGTTTCGCAAACAGGCTTGTTGAAGAGGTTCCGACGACTATTCCCCAAGAGATGTGATGATTCCGCGACTCTCAGCGCCTTATGAGCTCCTGGTCCACGCACATAACGACGTTACGCCGTCGCGTACCCTAGAGAGTGCATGAATGCCGGTTAACAACGATGTAGCGGCTTATAGTGTGGCTCCTACTCGAGTCATATTCGTTCGGTTCTCTAGCTCATCATACAGGATGACTGAATCCTTCCTGCTCTCGTTTCCATCGCTGTTGTGTCAAATACTCAATGGTGAGATAAGGCATTCTAAAAGATATTTTCTGTTGAGCTCCTTTGATGCGTCACGCCTGCATTCTGTCAACTTCTCCAATTATTTACATTCATCTAAATATGAGCCGTCTTTTCTCAAAGATAACTCATTGCTTGAGGTTCTCAGTGGCTAAACATGGTGGTATAGCTTGGTAGTATAGTATACATTCTGAGTTAATATCCAGAATTTTCTTCACTTTCTAATATGAGACAAACTGGGGTGAAGTTGTCAGTTTAGATCAATCCTCTGGTCGAACCTTATGCTTGAGAGTCCTTCTCTACCAAATAACCATAAAAATCACTCCTACGTCCGAATATTTGAGGCATTGAAGAATATATACAGTTGTTCTACTGTTGTTAGTAGAAGTATATGAATCCCCTTGAAATTGTACTTAGGTCGGAGTACACCCAGCTGTGAACCAACAACGAACGCAGCTGGAGGAGATACGCCGGAGGCAATTTCCAATTTGTCGATTCATTTATCCGTCGTAGGCCTCGCCAAGCCTCCTCTAAGTGGAGTCGACGAAAAAATGAGTGCTAAGGAAATGCTTACGTAATTTGAACCAAAATAGCATTGAGGGTGTCCCAATAATTAACTATATGTTACGGAACTTTTTTGAACTACAAAAGCCATTGTAACTCAGCACCAGTTAAGAGAGAATGCGAAAACTTCTTGTGAGAATCATAGACAGGATCGAGAGGGATGTTGTGGCTCATACCCAAAAGAACGCTCAAGTTTAAAACTTCCTGGTGGCCTTTGCTTCCTACTCTTAACAACTTCTTGATTTATTTTGAACTCTGATTCCTGAGAACTAAACAGTAATACCGGGACTTTTTGTATGGTGTATCCCTCAGGGATTGATCAACGCCGAGAGGTTTATCCTTTATCCTTATGACGATGTCGACCTTCACATGAAGGGAATCAGCAGAGCATTTCACTTTATTCATGCAGCTCTTAAGCATTCTGTGTTCGCTTTGAATAGTTCCATGTTAGAAGAACGAAGAAAAAGCTCCTTGAGAATCTAATTTGAGTCAATACGGGAAAAAAAGGCAAATGCAATAGTTTTCTCATAGTTGAAATTTAAAGGGCGTCAAAATAATTCACAAAAATGGCTAATTAATGATTAAGAGTAAAGTGGATGCACATGGTTTCCACACCCTATTGAAAATGAACGGGAAATGAGTTCCGACTGGGTTTTCCTCACTGGATCATCGCTGGAACGTTAGAGTTCTTGGGTGTCCAACTAAGGGCAGATCATCTGACCAAATTTCAAACTTTCCTTTCAGTGACGATATTTATATACCCTTAGATTAAACAGTAATGTCGACTATGATTTTTTGACATAAATATTTCATTAAGTGAGCTTTAGCACTGAGTTCAGGGTAAATCACTTGAACGAGTTAATCAAAGAAGGTTAATCATCCAGTGGCCGAGTGTGGCACAGTGGTCGGAGGCGCCCTCCAACACAGACATGGGATCAATTCCCGCGCCTGTGGCCCACCAAGCCCTCCACCCTCCCGGGTCGGCAAATTGGTACCAGACTTGTCTGGGAGGATAGCAGCACTGGCTCGATACATTGTAAAGGCCAGATATGCATTCAATCACCTCCAACGATGCTTAATGAAGTCAAATGCATGGCCCATCTTCAGGGATTGATCAACGCCAAGAGCTTTATCCTTATTTTTAATCATCCGGTAGTTAGACTCGTGAGCTGTTAACATCCAAGAAGGTTTCTTTCGTGTTTTATTATTTTATGGCTAATTTTCCACGGATAGAAAATTTAATAGAGGTTAACCCTAAGTGAGAAACTATGGGACCCAAAACTAATGTAAACGGGAGACAAGGAAGCGGACTTTTCTAAAGATCTTATCACATATAGTACTTCAATGTTATGAAATGCCATTAGAACAATTTCCCCCAGTAGGCGCCAGTAAACAGAATAAGTAGCCACATTTGCTTTAATATCTAAGGAGATGTTTGTAAATTCTTTCTCTGCAATGTAGGCCACAGAGTGATGATGAAATTATCGATAGCTGAACAATAACTTATCATGGGTTTGTGGTGGTGTTCGAAACACGAACCCTCTATGCCTCAGTGGCTCGTCATTCCACTACACCACAATGTCACAGTTCTTTTGCTCATCATATTTTCCATTATTACTTGAACAAGAACCTTTGATTCGACTTCAGTATGCACAAAGCAGACACCGCCAACAATTCGTAACGAGTCGATGGTTAATGTCACAGCATTGCTGGGTCAGGATGTCGATTTCAGTTGCAAGGTGGACAACCTTGGTCGGCACATGGTAGGTAGTTTAACAAGAGTTCTTCCGTTTTGTGGAAAAAATATTCATTAGGACTTAAGGTTTATAATTAAGAAGGAAATCACCATAGTTTTTTCAGATCGCATTCGTGCGTTCCAGTACACCTCCCAGGTTAATATCATTTGAGGAGAAGATAAGTGGCTCAAAATTTCCGTTACCGTAACCGAAGCGTTTATAATTGACTTCATGTAGGAGTTGGTAATAGGATTTTATATGGATGATAGGGCCATTTCATATCCTGAAATATTCCTAACAGCGATAAAAATTGCATAAAAATCTTAAATCGGAAATTTTTGGAAAATTACTGTGTTCATGGTTTCATATTTTCATTTCAGATTTTCCGGCAAAAAGACAAATATGACCTGAAGTCGAAAATGGGCCCTTTTAATAACGAATGGGTTCTGACTGTGAAGAATGTTCAGGTTTATTTGTGCTTCATATTCCTTAACACTTTAGTAGGTCAAGGTTAGGAAATCGTTCTCTACGAAATCGATTCCTTCTATCTTTATTTTGTAGTGGTTCGAAACGTATTACAGAAGCGTAGTGCTTTGAATGCGTCGTAAAATATAGTGAAAGCTGAGAGGCAGGCGAAACGAAGGACCCACATGGTGTGGTGGTGAACGCGTCAGCCCCCGGAGAGGGTAATACCCCTAGCGCGTTCATTCCCCACCGCAGACACCTGCGTGCCGGAGTTTTGCAAACATCTCAGCATCACTATGGTAAAATATAGTTTTGGAACTAATATGATCAACATTTTCTGTCAAGGGTCTGGTGCCAATGTGTTTGCTCGGTAAGCATTTGAAATGAAATATGCATGCTTTTCACAGAAAAGTATTTGAGGCACTTGAGAGTTTTGATAAATGGAAGACTGACTCCAACTTGTTTACTACAAAGCGCGCAAAAAAGCGGGTTTTCCTGGCTCTTTGTCCCCTTTTTTGATAAGCAACTTTCATTTAACCTCTGTATGGATAGTGAATGTATATTCTCTGGCTGAGAAGCTAACCATTTATTGATGCTCTCTCTATGGTTCTTTTTCGTGTTTGTTGTCGTGTTCCACGCCAGTAGCGCCGTGGTTTTTTCAGGAGAGCGATCGTGGAAACTATTCGTGTCAGGTGAATACCGATCCAGTACTGAGTGCTACCGCCGTATTGGATGTGAAAGGTAATTGATCAACTGAGCAGAATCATTGATATTAAACGAAATGGTGGTGACGGTGACGGTGGCGATGGTGGTGGTTAGGTGGCTGCTCGGACATTCATATGCCGTCATCGCCTTAAATCAACCGTTGTCCGCTGTGAGCAGCCGTAATCGGACGTTTTTTTTTTATTGTGGACTAATTAATCAAGGACATACCAGCTAATGCTTGTTAAAAAAAAACCCCTAGAAAGAGAACAGGACGGGCATTATAGAGTGTTTTCCGTTCATTTTTTCAAGTTAAATTCTTTTTTTGGAAAGTCGCTCAGAAGCACAATAGTGGTCTCAAACTTTATACAGATGAGCCAAATGAGGTTGTATGCGACTTTGTTGCCTGGTTACCAGAATTTTATCTCTATTTTACATTACCTGATATCACATATTGTGAGGACACAAGCACTTCTTTTCCTCGATTTTCTTCCTCTCATCGGTCATCCACTCTTCCAATTTTTGGGTACAACTGCTTGAGGGGTTTTGATATGCCTCGTGAATATTGTAGGTGCTGGTCTTGCCAATTCTTCCTGGAATCGTCGAAATTCAACAGTTTGCGCGATTATAAGGTAGAGTCAGCAGGATGGATACCATTAATTTTTCTAGTCCGACGTGGATAGCGAGCTGTTTTATTCCGTTCAATAGCACATGCAAAGCCCTGGTACGACCCTTTTTCGTACCGTGGTTTACATACGCATCCATAATCGAAAACTCTGCTCTGAACCTAGATGCGGTAAGCTATTTCCCATATACAAAGGCTGGTTACCACCTGGGTTGAAAACCTGGAAGAGTGCAAGCACAGCTATTCCGCAGTTCCAGGAAGAATCAACTTAACCAGCATTCGGCGTCATTAACACTTTGTCAATGAGTGACATCCATAGGTTTCATAGTGGTTTTGTGGAAGTGACCGGTAGAATACCTATAGGGCTCGTTTTGTTTTCGGTGGTTTATTCCAAAATATAAAGCGTTTCCCAACAGTTACCGTTACCAGTCGATAGCTTGTAGAACAAAGATGTTATGTTGGGCCTTGTTCATGAAAAGCTCTATCCTGCACTTAGAAATATGCAAAAAACCGTTTTCCGAACGAGTTCACTAGCCAGAATCCAGGGTGCTGATCGACTACTATTTCAATTATAACTGTTCTAATTAATAATGACTCCCGTATTTAATGTGTGGGTTTAAAAAGTGCTGAAGTGGAGACCCATAAGTTGTAAAACGCTTCCAAATGTTGATGGTAATGTGTTTGTATGACGGATTATACTAAATTATAATGGCACCATAAATAGCACCATTTAAACCAATAGAAAGATAGAGCAAAGTTTTTTCTACAATCGCTTACTTTCAGAACCTATGAACTGCTCTAGTTATCGAAAAATTATGATTTATTTTCAAGAGATCGAATAGTCCGTAAAGGCTGGAAATTAGGCGTCGTAGAGTCGGCAACAAACCGGAGATTAGGCGTTGTCGCGGGTATGTTAATAAAGAAGCCCAAAAGTCCTCAAGCACCAGTCGAACCCGCGGCCAAATCCCAAGACCTTCATGAATGAGGAATGCGAGAAGATAAATATAATGAGAGAGGCAGTGGGATCCACACAATATCTTGTTTGGCCATGTGGATCTTCAATAGAAAGCCAATTTTTTCAGTTTTATAGCAATTCTCTTATTGATTTTCAGTTCATCTAGCGGGTATCGTTAATCTTTTCTGTTGTCAAAACCGTACTCAGTTGTTCCTGAGCTAATTTGCAATAGATGTGCGCGATGAACTCTGATGAGGAATGATTTCTATAGCTTCGTCCCTCACGATTTCAGGCGCGGTCTAAATCGTTGGCGCCGTGTTTTTGACAAGTGAACATTTCAACCCTAGAGAATGAAAAGTTTCTGCCAGCTAAACTTGATAGTAAAATACAGCTTACAATCAATTCAACCACCATACAGTGTTAACTACAAAGCGTGAAGAATCCATTTGGACTTATTATGAAACACCAAAGCAGTGAAATCGTACATGCCATAAATATTTAACAGGGTACTTTCTTAATTAGTTTGAATGCTTTTCGATACCTCTCTCTTGTATTGTTACATGAGCTGCGAACCTAGTGGAGTAGTATTTTTCTGCAGAGGTCCACCCTCGAGTCGTTGTCCATCGGGGTTCGTATCTAGTTACTCAGCTTGCTAAAACTCTATTGGCTATTGTCCACATTTCCATTACCATGCAAATAGTGTTCGCGCCATAAATTCCTCAAAATAGCGTGCTATGTCTTTATCGTGGGATTGAGAACTAAGTGCACGTCACAGAGTGTGCTCAGCCCAGTAGTATTAACTTTATAAATGAAAACTGAGTAGCAGATACGGGATAAAATTCCGCGTGTGACCCCGGACGAAAACAAGTCGCGCAATTCGCTATCAGATTGTCGGGTTGCTGAAAAAGAGCTGAAGTAAATCGATATATGATCAAAAGCAGTGTGACGTCGCTGCCTCTATTGAATCAAATCAACATCAACTTCAATGACATTATATGACATTACTGGCTTGTATGGAAAGGTTTCCCACAGGAGTCCAGGAAAACTTTTTATGACCGTTCTCAGGTTGTCACTACAAAAGGGTGCCCAAATTTGTTAAGAACAGGGGAGAGATTTGCCGCATTGCGACTTTGTTTCCCTCAATAGAATGGCGATTCTGCCATACCTTTACTAGTAATTGGCCCTCTGGATCAGAGTGCTAAATTCCTTCACAACTTGGTTAGTCTGTCGGTCAACGTATCCTTTCTTGTACACCATTTTTGTTCAATAAAGTGATTTATCAAGCAGGACTGAAATTACTCCTCAGCAGAAAAGAATCATTTGTTAGTGTTAGTGTTTTTCGGATAGTGCAGGCATTGTTTAGAAGGACGTGTCGGTAGTTTACTTCTCTCTGACAAGTACGAATTCAGAGAGTTGAAAGAGATAAAGAGAAGACGACGTCGATTCAGGACGTAGCACGCAGAATACCACTGTTACAGCGACCTGCGATGATTGAACGGATAAGAAAGTTAGAAAGGAAGTATGAAAAGCTTCTAGACTCAAGAAATGACTAACTTTTTTCTATTCAAAAGTGTTCTTTGACCGTCTACTATCAACTTCTGAGTTAAACTTTCAACTGAGACACTCTCCAGTTTCCCTTCCGACCTTTCCATTCGCGGCGTTCTAGTGCAGCTATTCATTTTCACACCATGATATTCTTAAGATGACAGTTCGAGGTCAGTGCACAATTATAGGGACCACGTTGTGGCATGCTATGCTTGGGTGCCGAGGTCCGAACGAGCCTAATTGTCTACTCTTGGCAATAATTAGCTCTACGTATAACAGGTGATGACAACACCTTAAAAGCGTAATCGCTTCCGTTTCGGCGAACGTCCACTCCCCGCCGTCGGTCTGTTCGTTGCCGACAATTACTGGTTGTAATAGTTCTCGTGGAATTGAAACGAAACGATTTCCAAACTTATTAGGGGTGTTTGATGATTTTCGCTAGCAGCACACAATTCTGTGGTTAGTGCGGTTAAATGAACAGAGTAAAGGATCCCGAACGGATGAGAGTATTAGCGGAACTGTCTTGTGCAATTTCTATTTCATTAACGGTAATTGGGTCCGTGTAGCTCAGTGGTTAGAGATGTCGTGCAATGAACACACTGACTTTGGTTCGATCTGGTGCCGCAAGCTAACCAAGCTCTCCATCTATCTAGGATCGGCAAATTGGTAGCAGCCTTGTTTGGGAGGATATGAGCACTGACCTGATACATCGGTAGGCCACTGAAGGCCATGTCATAGGCGAAATATGCATTTATTCATCTCTCAGTATGCTTGATGAAGTCGAATGCCTGACACGTCACTCACTGATTGCTCAACGCCAAACGTTGTATCCTTTTGACAGCAACACTTATATCATATTAATGTTTAGAGGTGGAATATTCGCTTTATCAATACAGACTTTAACTTAACCTCGGTGGGGATAATCGGTGCCTTGGTTGATTGATAGGTATACATAAAATCCTTGTAAAGACACCAATGTAGCTAACGTTTCGTCGCCTACGTCTTCTTCAGAACCACAATGAATCCTGTAGTTTCCACAGGTAGTTCTCACAATGATGATCTTCACGCTGGCACCAGTTTTGTCGTGTGGAACATTTCTCATGTTTTAAATGTTTATGAATTGTTCAGGTAACCACCAAGTCTACCCCATTTCGATTTACTCTTCTACGTCATTCTCACTCTGCACACAAGTTCCAGGTTCAGTACTTGATTTCAGTCCCACCAGTGGTATCTCGTGGTACTCCGTCAGCTGTCGAAGTTCGAGAAGGACACAACGTGACGTTAACGTGCAAAGCAGAAGGAAATCCAACACCATCTGTAGTCTGGCGTCGTCAGGACAAACAGATTATCCGCTACAACGGCGCCACCGGATTCGGAGGTGAGCTTTAGGGTCGTGTTATTAAATTTCACTTCATTCGTTTGCACTTTTCACTACGATATACTATTTGTAAGTACCTCAATGTTTCATAAGAAGCGTTATCCCTTCCTCGGTCCCAGAAATACCAGTAAATGAGTCATCATCACCATAATTTTGAAGCACTGAAGTCGCGGTATGGTGACGTCACTTTGTGGAGACCTACAACGGCAAAAGAAATATCGCGCTATGTGGCTTTAGTTGTAGAAATAGCACTAGCGTCATAAGAGAGCGATCAGTCTCATTCTGAAGAGTGCTTGATAACAACAGAGTCATATTTACTTGCATGAGATTAGTATCACTTGCACTTTTCGAGGAATTTTTTCTCGGAACCTTAGCCACTAGGTCGAAATCCTAAGGCGAATAGTTCACTTGAGTGAATAAATTACTAACTTGGAACTTGTTACATGTACTTTTCATAGATTTACAAATTTTCTCTTGCCTTTCAAAATATTGACAACGGCATTATGTGAGTTACACAAGAGCTCAAAAATTTTCCCAGGCCACCATTTGTTGGCGATCTTGATCGGCCTAGAAATCTCTATGTCTCAAATTTCACAGTTGCGCGACGGTGTAGGAAAAGTAGTGAAGGGAAGAAAAAGTAGGATTAGGATTAGAGCGCCAGGAAGGAAACTTCAAGAGCAAACAGTTCACTGCATTCAAAATTTGGGAACTTTTTATCGAATAATAATGGTAAGGACCATACAGCTTAGAAGAATTTCATTCCTTTTGTCTTCTTTGAAGTTTTTGTTGCTTTCATTAGTCTATAAAGGATAAAGGACAAAATATTCGACGAATATCAATCCTTTAGGGATGCGCTTTCCATTCGACTCCATTAAGAGCATTATAGAGTCGGTTACACATCTCGTTTGTACAGTAACCTATGGATACACAAGTTAATGTTGCTAGCCTCCACGACAAGCCTGTTATGAGTTTTCTGAACCTAGAGGAGTGGCGGTTATGGCGAGCCCGAGGTGCAGGATCGAACCAAAGACCATGTTTGAATTCTAAGGAACCTGCCACCAACTCGCTGCACGCTTATCTCATCAGCATATCAAGAATGATATGTTTAGTTGAACTAAGCTCAATGAATACTGAAGAAGTTATGCTGCCATATGAAGCAACACCTGGAGATCTCCTACCCCGTTAACATCTGGTTAGTAGCAAATTCCGCAACCTCGCTGATCAGTTCACCTACTCTCGAAAATGGATCCCACCAGGTTTCGTTAATAACAATGTTTACCAAATTGGATATCTAATCTAATTTAGTGCTCAGAAACCATGCCATATGTTATGAGGAGGAGATGGTCAATTAAAGACAGCGCATGCAGAGTCAGTCAAGAGCGGATAGGGGTCAATCGTTCATAATCCTGCAGAGGCGTAGCGCTCGGCAAAAATAACGTTCGCATGCTAGCAGAGCTAAAGTGAAAGAGTACGAAAGCCACAGAAGAGGGGGCTATATAGCACTCCAGCTTGTAGAAATTAAATAACATAGGCTAATTCTAAAGTTCTAGAGTCGTAACTGGACATCCGTACATTTGCATCACTGAGGGGTATCGAATTGGTCACATAGGAACCTTCATGGCGCATCCTTAGTTTATGAGTATGGAGATCAATGCACATTAAAAAGTGACGAAGTACTCGCACCAGAGACGGAATTGGATTCATGTGATGGGTTGATCATGTGCCAAGTGTGCCCCACAATCCGATTTATAATGAAGTATGATAACACGGAAAGTATGTGAATGGAAAATGTATAGGAGGTGGTTTGATGACATCTCCAACTATAAGGCAGCCGGCTGCTACTTTTCACCAAAAGCAATGATAATAATGTGCTTATACGGATTATGCGATAGTGTTCCTATCTCTCAAATGAGGTGAATCTATAAGGCGGCTCTGCTGAGCAACAATGGAGAACAGAACTTTGTTGTTGTCCTACTCGTTTCACACGACGATGGAGTGATTTATAGTGCAGTAAAATTGGATAGGTGTAGAACAGTGGTCAGAGGTGCCTGCAATACATTTATTGCCGTTGGTTCAATCTCTCGTCCATGACGAAGCACGCCTTTCATTTTTTCGGGGTCGGTTAAGCGATGTCACACTAGTCTGGGAGCTCGAGAGCTTGAACTAACATATCGGTAGCCCTCCGGAAATTATGTATGAGCTAAATTCACTCATCCACAACTAAACGAGTTTGCCGCCAGTTCTATTTTTATCAGTTATAAACTAGGAAAAACAATAAGTGAACAATGATTTAGAAATGTTATATGAAGTAGTACACATGGCTAAAGCAGATTTCCAACGAATTTCAGCGAGCGTTTTCCACGGCTCCAGCCTTCATTTGACTAAAGTGAATAGGAAGCACATGAGTGAATATGTGTGTGTGGCCAGCAATGGAATTCCGCCAGACGAGACATGGACCGTTAAGCTGCTTGTTACATGTGAGTGACTAACTTGGCCTCGTTTTGTCTCATAACTCGTTCTTATTCCTTTTTAAGTTACTCGCCTTAAATGACTAACTACTAAGTAGTTCTGAAGTCGTTCCCTTTTCCTTTCACTCCAAGTTTAGACTCTTTATAGAATGTGAGAGAAAAGGTGTGTAGTATAACAACATGTCGATGACAAAATGTGTAAGTGGAATCTCTCTCCATACGATAATTACGAACGAAAGTGATTTTGCTAAGTATTTATGCGAGCTCTGTAAGCTTACTTGCTTTCTGATTCCAAATTGAGCTTCAGTCTGGTTATCATTAATTTTGAGGCGGCCACTTCTGCAGTTCTCTGAACTCCAATTAGGTTTAGTTCTACTAATAAACAAGCCGTTTTCTCTTTCTATAGATCTATATCCGAGTAGTGAAATCAAGTTATCGTGTTGGCGACATGCACGAGCCAAATGCGTTTTATAAAACTAGATTCTATCGAAATCAATTTTCTGAGTTTTTGCCGAGTGAAAAAGCCAGGCTGGCTGCTCGTCGATGGACGAGTTGTCTTGTTGTGGTGGTCGGCGTTAGTCAGAAGTGACTCTGCCCAACATGACGAGCAACAAACTCAATTTTCTTCTGGCATATTTGTGAGAGTCACCGTGGGATGCGATTGCCAAACTGGGACTTTACTCGAGAAAATCGAGTTCGCGTTTTAAACAAGCGTCGAAACGGAGACAAGATTTGGAATTTAGTGCCAGTCATTATCGTTTTCCATGTTCCACGTTTCCTTTAATAGGAAAAATATATTCGTAGCAACATCCAGTTTGAATTTCTGATTCATTCGAAATGAGATAGTTATTGACGGGTCATTGCTGATGGCATTGAAATAGCTGAGAGACAGGCGAAACGAAGGAGCCGCATAATGTGGTGGTGAACGCGTTAGACCCCGGAAAGGGTAATAGCGTGTTCGCTCCCCATCGCAGACAGCTGCGGTCCGGAGTTTTGCAAATATCTCAGCATATCTTTGCTGAACAGAAATAGAAAGATATCTCGGCATCGTTGTGATAGTTATTGAATGCTGATCTCTCCTGATACTCTGCTATAAGGGCATTCCGTTATTAAAATTTCCATACTTTGAAACTGTGACATTTCGTGGGGTGCATAATAAAGCTAAATAACACGCAAGGTGATAAAGTATTCCACTTTGACCAACCTTTTAGGAATGCGCTATGCAGTCAGCTCAACACGTTCGCGATGGTACGCATTGATTTCAATACGTGCGGTGTGAAATTGGTGGCCAACATTCAAGTTCAAATCAACGAAATTCAACTCCTGATAAATTTCACCAACTAATAAGATTTTGCAAATCTGCCACATTTGCAAGTTTTGTTATTCTGTCAAGATGAACATCTAGTTTTCTGGGGCCAAAAAACCTAGTTCTTTCCTCAGTTCTCGTTGAGAATCATATTTCGAACGGAAAAGTAGTTGAATAAACGGGGTCACATCCGGAAGGACACGACAGTGTTCCCCTCGCGTGGGTGTTTTGAAAAATTTAATGACTGTTCTCAATTTTTAATAATTTAAACTCTGGGCAATTTTTTGAATTTGAAAGAATACTTTGCGAAATTATTTATCTTCTCAAGGTATGTAGCCTAGTGGTTAGAGCTACCATGAAATACACGAAGGGTCCGTCGTATATTTAATCGGGCGCTCCAGGCTCAGCAATCCTCCCATCTCTCCTGGGTCGGAAAATTCGGCAAATTACTACAAGGCTTCTCCGGGAGGAATAAAACACTGACATGATTTATCGTTATGGCAACGAAAGGCATAATTGAGTTTATATATGCATTCATTCACCTCTACGATGCTCAAAGATATGTAAAGTACAGCGAGCGCATCCTTCAGCGATTGATCGATGCCGAGTACTTTATCCTCTTTTCTTTTTGTTCTTGATGCAATAAAGCAAGATCTTTCATATAAGTGCGTGAAGTCCTGTGGCTATTAAATGCTCTGGTTGTTGAAAAAACATTGACAGTTAGCGGGAAACCCGCTTCATATCAAAGGATTTAAGAACGTATTAAGCTCATAGAATGAGAAGCGGGAACTTACCGGTGCATCAAATCAATGTTCATATCTTCTCAGACAGCTCAGACATCAATTTCTTAACTCTGGAGCGGCGTGAGGCTTGGTTGACCCGGTAGGGTTGAGAAATCGCCTCGCACTTATTAAACGTCATATCTATCATTATGCTGAGCCTATTCTATGTTCAGAAAGTGCTTCGGGGAACAGCATAAGTAATTCGTATGAAGTGCTGAGATATCTGCAAAACTCCGGACCACAGGTGTATGCAGTGGAGAACGAACACGCGCTGTTGTCCTTACTGGAGAGCAGCGCACTTCACCACCACACCATCCGGGTCCTTGGACTTGCTTGTCTCTCATCTAGTTCTATCGATCTTTTTGCCGTCAGCACCCCGGATGGTGTGGTGGTGAAGTGCGCTGCTCTCCAGTAAGGACAACAGCGCGTGTTCGTTCTCCACTGCATACACCTGTGGTCCGGAGTTTTGCAGATATCTCAGCACTTCATACGAGTTATATTTCACAACATACCCTGCCATTAAGAAGAAAAAGGCAGTAAATAAAAGAGTTAAGAGCATAAGTAATGTTTGTTGCTTGGGGACCTACTGGCCCTCTGATAATGAGATTTCATAAACCCGCAACATCTCACATGATACGTCGCTGAGCAATATTTTGAATGAACCAATCTATATATAAAAATCTATAGGAAGTTACATTGAATGCCAACTAACTCTTAGATATTTACAGTTGCCCCCATGATCCAGCCGAAGTCCCCTAGCGTTAGAGTGCCTCTGGGCACTCTAGCACGTCTCGTCTGTACTGCCGAGTCGTGGCCGAGACCCGATGTCAGCTGGGACAAAGAAGGACACCAAATTTTCGATTCGGACAATTACGTCACGGTTTGTAACAATTATTTTACCGTCTTACTTCATACAAGCAAAGAAAGTGATTCTTTATTTCTTAGGTGGAGTGGCGGATAGGGTCATTTGAATATTTTAAAAGATAAGTTGCTATATTGGTCTAAATATCATGAGATTAGGCCACCGCGAGTCATTGTAAAGGCCAGATAAGCATTCAATCACATCCAAACGATACTTAATGAAGTCGAATGCATGGCGCATCCCATAGGGGTCGATCAACGCCGAGAGCTTTATCCTTTTATTATCCTAATCTCGCCACATGGATAAGTTATGCACTTCTCAAGGATTGCTATGTTGTGTGAGTTGTTCGACTCGGTCTCTTGACGCATTGTCTCGAATTTGTATTGAAGAGAATTGCCCGGGAGGTACTCAAACAATACAACCATTGCATAATAACAACAGTTTGTAAAATATTATATTGAGTTGTCTTTGCTAATGATTTGAAACTACACACTATGCCGTATCTCTATGCTAGTTCGCAGTGAAGCCAGCATCAAAAAAACGAAAGCTTAGGAGTAGGAGACTGGAAAGATACACTATCCGATCGAAGGAAACCTAAGAGGAAGAGTTTCTGGAAAAACTTTAGGATGTTTATAGTGGCTGCATTATTCCCCCCAACGGTTTAGCGGCTCATCGTGGCTGGGAGGTGTTCCTGGGTGGTGTCAGACTGCGATGTACAGCGGAGGATTCATACTCTTCGCAGGGTCTCCGAAGCTGAGAAAGGACCCGGCGTTTCCATCAGAAGATCTAGCTAAGAGTAAACCAATACCAGGATCCACCACCGTCCTAGTGTCGAATTAGCCGCACGGCGGCAAATCTCCCTCTGATCCACAAGGGATGCGATTGCCTGTGGTGGTGTAGACCTGGGCAGACTTTGGCCAGGCTGACCTCAGGATTCTAGGGAACCATGATGGGTTGACCAGCAAATCCTTGAAAAAATGGAGATTATGGTGGTACCCGCATAACTAGTGAGGAGGGGCCATTCAATTATCAAGTATCAAGTGCATTATTTTAGTCACAGACGGTCTCCGGTCAGTATCACAGCGTCCATGTACTTGAGATTCGTCGGGTTGAAAAGCACCACTACGGCAGTTACCGCTGTACGGCTAGAAATGACAATGGAATACACTTTGCTGACATTGAATTGCGAGGTTCGTATTGGTGTTCGTTGAATATGGTATTTGAGCGTTCTCGCATACGTAAGCCTTTTTTAGAAGCCGAGCCGAATTACCTCTACACAAACACTATGCATGAAGGTGAGTGTGAGTGTGGAAGAATTTCCCTACAATTTCTCTCATTGCTACATTTCTGTCTTTGTAGAAATCTATCGCATCCAAAGTTTCTTCACTTCAATATCCCTTAGTTGTAAGAAGTGTTTGTTTCTCACCAAATGCTCGAAAATTCTGACCAACTATTAGTCATTTCTGGTTGTCACTGGGCAAAAGGCCTGCTGAGAATTACTCCTTGATGTGAGAACACACGATACGATGCACGAAGTGATTCAACTCTACCTATTCAGAAACAAGAACAAGCTTTTTGTGCCTCATTTTTGCCTTAAAGGGCACGTGTGGCGTGGTGGTTTGAGACGCCACTGCGACGTACACGGGGAATCGATCCCCGCGCCCATGGTCCATCAAGCCTTCCATCCCTCTGGGGTCGGCAAATGATACAAGACTTGTCTGGGGAATGGCAGCACTGGCTCGATATATCGGTAGGCCACCGAGAGTCTAATGAAGTCGAATGCATGGCGCATCCCTCAGGGATTGATCAATGCCGAGAACTTTATCCTTTTTATGCCTCATTTTCCTTACATCGGACGGATATCCAGATAATAATGCCTATCACTTCCAGTAACCTGTAATCCCGCTAATCATCAGGTACCTATCAGTGAAGTCTTCCTATTTTTTGTTGGATCTGTGCTGTAGGCGCAGTTCGATCTGGGTACATACGAATATCATACTTTTACTATGAGGTCTATGGTTTCTACTGCTAGCGATGAGATGGCACTACGGCAACTCAATAGTCCGTGCCATGGAAAACAGGATACAGCGATGAATAGCTTGTAGTGCTTTTCCAGCGATGTAGTGAAATTAGGTAGACAAAGGTATAAAAGAAGCATAGATAACTAGGCAAAGATATGAGAGCCTCCCAACGGTTTACCGCATCATCGTGGCTGGGAGGTATTCTGGGTGTCGAACTTCGATGTACAGCGGCGGGATTCATCCCCTGGTAGAGTCTCCCAAACTGAGAAAGAGTCCGGCGCTTCCATCAGGAAACCTAGCAAAGAGTAAACCATTACCAGGACCCACCGTCGTCCTGCTAACAAAGTCGCATGGTGGCAAACCTCCCTCTGATCCACAAGGGCTGCAATTGCCTGTGGTGGTGACGACCTGGGGCAGACTTTGGCCAGGCTGACCTCGGGATTCCAGGGAACCACAATGACTTAATCAGTAAATCTCCGAAAAATGAAGATTATGCTGGTGCCCGCACAACCAGTGAGGACGGGCCGTTCAAGTATCAAGTAAAATATAAGACAGATGTAAGAACAAAGGTAAAGGTGAAGAATAGAATATAGGATAGAATTTACATGCGATAAGTAGATATTATGGTTGTTCACTCACTGTTGAACCTGAGTTGTGATTGTCTTGCTGCGTGGTGCTATACACTATATCATACTATATACCTGTTTTACTTTCTGTGGTTTGCCAATTCACTATGTTAGGGTGTACTCTTGAGTGTTGCACTACGATAAAATCCGGGACGTTACCTTTCCTGCATGTCACTTGCGCTGAGGAGTTCCATACGCCCGTAAAATCTAAGGTAAATGTAGCTAACCTATACTAGAAATAACTTTTATCATCGAAGAAACTCAGTTCGAAGATAGTGGATTTCCTCCCATCTAATCCAGAACGCTAACGACGGCTTATGGTGACGACGAGAGAACTTTATGTCACATCCTTGTCGAGACTTCATTAAAATGTGGCTCAATAAACAGCATAGCAACCAATAATCAGATTTAAAGTGCTCCCCTTTGGGTTCACACTATTTTCGTGAAGATGAGTGATTCAATATTTCGGTTTAAGTATATTTCACATTTCACATGTGTGTCGCTTGTCGCACTGCATGTGGTCGCACACAATATTGCAGGGTCTGGTTTAGTGATCAGTGATGACGAGGATTCAGATAAAGACGACGACGCTGCTGATCACGACTCCACACACGCCAGAGCGATCGATACGCATCCGATTCGATCACTGTCGTCGGCGTGGTCGTCGTCGTCGTCGTCGTCGTCATATCGCACGCGAACCACACCCCGTTCCGCCGGAGGCACGTGTTTTAGTAACGGTTTAACATGTCCGTCTGCACGTGGTTGTTATGAAAACAATTTAAGCACCATAATTTTTGCGTATTTTTCTATAAAAATACTCCTTAAGATTGGAGGATCTTAGACAGAGATTTTGAAAACTAAAAAAACCGTCGGTAACCCTCTGTTGTCGAAGGGACGCAAAAATGCTATAATCTGAAAGAAAGGCGAAACGAAGAATCCGAGCGGTGTGGTAGTGAATACGTTAGCTCTCGGATGGGGTAATAGCGTGTTCGAACCCCACCGCAGACATCTGCGGTCCGGAGTTTTGCAAATATCCCATCATCATCGTGGTTATATGTCACATCATACCCTGCCATCAAAAAAGAATAGGCAGTAGATAAAAAGTGATGACATTGTAAAACGCTAGCGTTCACTCTTATTATTTAAAAATGCAGCTTAAATCATAGATTGCCACCGAATATATTTTCGGTGCTACTATCAATCAATAAATTCAAAGTAGACGTGACAGAGTCATGACGAGCTATGATGGAGTTGCTTGCTACTGTTTTTAAAGCACTTCTGTAGGTTATTCTTACTCCCGTCAAATTTATCCCTACATGCTTGAGTTTTTTCAGAATTACGACAAGAGGGGCTGATGCTGAACACTTCAAGGCGAGCGCACTTTACTTTCATTGTTCTCGTTGTATTGTTAGTGTTATTACTTTAATATTTCAATAGGTTATTGATATTCTTTGTATATAACTGATCTCACCAGTACGCGGTGTTGATCTCTCTAAGTTAAATTTCACTTATTCTTTGTGCATTGTGAAAATTTGCCATTATTTGTATCTATAAAGAAATCTTAATATTACCTGAATCTGTGGGTTTGGAAGAGGTGAAGGCCATAATTTGTTGCATAGGTAAAGTAAAGCCAAAAACAAGATGGAAAACATTATTACACTACATCATCAGATCGCAGTTACCATAAAAACACGTAGTTCGTTGCCATGAAAAAGTCAGTCGATCATCCAACGGAAGTTGTGAAAGTTGTTGATGCCACTTGGAGTCCAGCGAGTAATTTTGTCTGGCTATCGCATCTGTTTGACGACCAGTTTTCCGGTGCATATCAACTCTATGAGTGGATATCAACTCGCACAGGCTCAATTACCCGCTCATGTATACGTGAAGATCCACTCAAAATGATCTTTATCTGCTAAGCGACTATCTATTGCATGAGAACCTAAAAACGGACGATATCCAATCATCCAGAAATTCACTTTAGTTTAACCGTTTCTGTTGTCTCTGGCGTTTCTCCATTCCAGATGGGTCGCCAGATCGGATTTTAATTTACTGAATGTACTGTGTTGAAGGGAAATTCCACTGACTTCACTCCCTGCAAAAAAATAGGTGCCATTTTCAGCACAAAGTTTGATAGAACGAATTCGTTTAGTAGTTCTTCCCCAGTAGTCCTTACTTCTAATCTCAACACAAGTTTCAGAATACCAAACACCTAAAGTTTTTTCCTGCCAGTAAATAGTCGTGGGTACGGAAGCTGGATTACAAAGATTTACTGCATCACTTGCCTGTTTCTTAAGTCGAAATCACTTACAAGTCTGTATTCATGGAAGGTGTATTGTATTTTGTGAGTGAACGTGAACTTCAGATACCAGTAATGTTTCTACCTCGAATGAAAGATTTGGTGAACAGATATTTCAGCTTTAACGATTTGTTGATTAAAGGACAAACCGGATTTCTATCAGATCGATAACTTCTACAGAGTTCTCCACATTATAGCTTATAGTTACTACTCCATTTACATATTAATGACATGTTTCGGAACAGTTTCATAAAATCCCCTATTCAGTTGTGTAAACAGTGATAGAGTCCTGATAAAAAAGCATAAACGATAAAGCTCTCGGCGTTGATCAATACCTAAGAGATGCGATATGCATCCGACTTCATTAATCATCGTTGGAGGTGATTGAATGCATATCTGGCCTTAACAGTAACTCGTGGTGGTCCACCGATATATCGAGCCACTGCCGATATCCTCCCAAACAAGCCTGATACCAATTTATCAACCTCGCAAGGATGGAGGGCTTGGTGGGCATAGAGCGCGGGGATCGATCCCATGTGTGCGTTCCTGGGCGCCTCTGACAACTGCGCTACAAGTGTCCAGAGTTCTGACAGATTTGAAAAATGACGTGATGACATAGATCTACAAGTGAAACTTTACTTGATAAACCTAAAATACAATGTTAAGCAATGTTGAACAATGCCAGACCATGCAAGATAATAAAAAATAAAAATTGAAATACAGACAGCTGAAATGTGTCGCACGATATCACTGTAGTTGAACTACGACAGAAGTGAAGATACCACAACAATGTTCGTTCATGCAAGGAAAGACAGCTCATCGGAACTCCAAAATTAATCCCAACATAGATTAATACATTTCATTAAAAGCGTAGATTACTCAAATATGCAGAAATAATGGACGCTAGTTTTGCAGGCATGCGTTATTTTTGGGACATCAATAGCAGATGGTAATCTACCGATAGGGAAATGTGGGCGGGATATGCAATCGTCATAAAGCACTAAAGTGATCTCAAATCAAATGTAGCGAAAAAAGAACCACGATGATACAAAGGTGAATCAGCCATTAAATCATCACGCGTTACGCATTAGAGGCAGCGAACTGTTGTTCGAAACGATGATCGAAACCGGCTGAACCAGCCCAACACCTGCAGAAAAAATCATGGTACGGAATGTCACAAGATGAAGGGAAATGTTGAAATGACCGTTTTCACCACAGTTTTAACGAGACGCAAAACCTACAGAGGAGAGTCTCTCAGATGCTTGAAGGAATTTTGCATTCAACAGAGAAGTCTACTACTACTCAACTACTACCACTACTACTACTACTCGAATAACGGACACTCAATCAAACACTCACAGTGACATACCTGAAGTGGTATAGGTGACGAGATACTTTACGAGAAGGCGTTGCATCCAGATCAGTGAAAACTATTCGTAGTCGACAGAGATTCCGACGATCCAACACCCAGTTACATTGAACACCGTAGTCGATAACTCTGTAATTACAGCAACCAGATATCTCAGATCTTTCGGATTCTCAAATACTTTGCTTCACTGGACAATGCCCATGGCAAAGGTTTTGGTTTAAAACGAAAACCACACCACGGATTTTCAGATCAATCCCGCTGATGGGTGATTGCTGATGCCACTGATCGATAGAACTAGCCGAGAGACAGGCGAAACGAGGGATCCGCTTGGTGTGGTGGTGAACGCGTTAGCCCAAAGGGTAATAGCGCGATCGTTACCCACCGCAGATACCTGCGGTCCGGAGTTTTACAAAAATTTCAGTATCATTGAAGGTATATCCGATCTCCCTCAAAGAGAGACCTCCTACCAGTTAGTTCAAGGCTATCTGACGCTCCCCTAGGTGGCGCTCAGGGCTAAATCGCGGAGCAAAACCTACCTCTTGCTTCCCTGAGACGCTGGTGAATCCAAGAGATGGACTCGCTTTTTCTGGTGCGCCGATTTGATATATACCTTCTGTGTTTACGAAGATATATTCATGTACGTGCACCTGGATGTGTTCCCGTTTGTGACGATTGTATTCTAACACCCAGGTCCGACTTTCTATTAAACTCGGCATTGATTGAATAATTCTTTGCACTTCTGTTCAGCAAACACGAGGTGTTACTTAATTTCTTTATTTACGTACAAGCTGACGTTTCGGCGGATTTCGCCTTCTTCAGAGCTTGGAAAGGTCAAGTTGACTACAATCTACACGGCCAAACACCCCCATAACCAAACAGAGAAAACGCTAAACCAAGATTTCAATCATATTTAGCATAGCTCTGCACACTCACCGCTTTCTATGAGTCTTCCACTAAATATGTTACGTGGAGACCAACCACTCAGAGTTCACACGGAATCGTATTGTGCCCATCTCATCAAAATAACATGCTTATATACTGCCCAATATCACGCGTGATAATGAGGCATTCCTCCTTGCGGTTCATTTCGGATTCTTGGAATTAATCCAGAATGCCTCTAGAGTTTTGCGCGCTTGTGTTCTCGATTCTTGCGCGAGGACCCTTACTTCAAAATCTTCTCCGTTATGTCTCTCCGTCCTATACGTGCCTAGTGGAGTATTTGGTTTACTTTTGCCGACTAGATGTTCTTTTATACGGACGCAGAGTGGTCTACCCGTTTCGCCAACGTATTCGTTTCCGCACAGTTTACAAGAGATCAGATAGACTGTACCCGAACTCATGCAATCACCGTCTCTACCATTGGGGCAAATTATGCAATTTTGTGTTGCACATAGACAGTCGTATAGACGGAAAAAGTCGAGCTGATACGCCAATGTGGAATCGGAAGGCAACCAACAACTCATGTACGAACTTGCAAAACAACGCAGAAAGACGTCACCTTGAACAGGATTGACAGAACACTGTACGACGTGCTGCTACGTCGGCAAGTATGGTTTCGAAAACATTCAGTACAATGGATCACAGTCAAAATATCAACATTCTACAACGATACTAAAATCGACATAGAGGGGTTAGGCAAGATGGTACTATCTTGCCAAAAATATTTTCTGCCATCGTCTAGAACGTTATGACAATATTGGAACGAGATAACATTGAAGTGAAAATCAATCATCGGCAATTACAACCATTTTCGATTTGCCCATGACATCGTTGTTATGGGCGCATGTAGCGCAGTGGATAGAGGTGCTTTGCAGTACACATGGGTTCGATCCCACACCCCAAGATTACCAAGCCATCCATCCGTTCTGGGTCAGTAGATTGGTACCAGACTTGTCTGGGAGGGTAGGAGCACGGGCTCGGTGAATCATCGGTAGGCCACCGCGAACCACTACTGTATAGGACAGCTGTACACTCAATCACCTCCATCGTTGCTTAATGCATCGTAAAATAACGCATCGTAAATAAACCCAAAGTGCATACACTGTCATACCTTGCCAAATGTGGTGCTTGTTGTTCGGTGGTACGAACGGTAAGATGCTGAATATTTGGCCAGTACACCTAAAAAATATTTGTGGATTACAGAATACAATTAACTTCATGTAGGTCATTCTCAACACCGCCTCAATCGGATTTCTCCCAGAATGGCTGATCTTCATCACTAAGCTTTAATCTGATAGATTTCGAGTTAACGTTTCTGAGAAAGGAATTCCGCTTTTTCCAGAATTTTTTTCATCATGAGATGTTCAGCAAAACTTATAACGATTCAAATAAACTACTACGAGATAAAGGTTCAATGCCAAGTGCTCTGACACGGGATCCCTTACCTGCTTTTAAAATTTTTGTCGCCCATATGAACGACTTTGAATTCTTTACACTTTTAAGCCAACCTTTCCGGGTTTCACAAAATCGCAATCCATGTGCATATCCTCATCGAAGACATCCATCGCTTTCATATAGCACTGGAAAGCGTACCATCGATTCAGATCCAGAGCGGAAAGGGAAACAACCAACTGAAAAATGTACAGTATGTTGTAAACCTAGACGAATTATAGCACTCCTCTGTGTTCTGTGTTTAAGCAAAGGAGTCAGGATTTTTTCAAACGATCTAACATATTTCTAGTAAGTGATCTGTCAAGGAACAAATTCAATTCAACAGATGATGGCCATCGCGGAATTAACTGAAGTGGAAGATTTTTCAAAAATTTCCTTCAAGTCCGGAAGACACGGTTGGTGAACTGCCTATCAATCTTTGCTATGCGAAAATCCTCTTCTCACAGGTGATCGTTGAGAGAGACATTGTTCAGCGAAGGATTTCATGTGCACACATCTTCGTAATTGACAAACAATAACGGACTGCGCCCGATGCGCATTGAGTACAATGCATTCCGCGCGAAAATGACGGTCGCTTCCAACTTTAAACGAACACTGTTCAGCTCATTTTAGACATTATTAGTTCTAGTAGAAATCATTGGAATCTACATATTTCTGCTTACAAAATAGGGCATAATTTTTCTTCACTTTTTGAATCAAGGCTCGTATTTCGAAAAGGAAAGCCACAGAAGAACTTGGATTTTATCCAGCACAACACGATGGTGTTACCCAATTCTACTGTTTATATTTACAAACTCTACATGGGTTCGAAAAATCTAAACCCTAGTTTCGATTTTTGTGTCAAATTTAACCCCAAAGAGGTTAAAAATTGAAGGAATATCTCGGAAAAGTTTTTTAAAAATTCTCCAAATTTGTGTACTACCAACTCCTCAAACATTCTAACGACCGAGAAATTATCAATTGTCGAAGAACCGGCTTTGTGAGCGATTTGTTAACAAATACATTAACCAGTCATTTGATTATCTTTCCTAGACTGGTTTTGAATCTAATATGTCAAGGAAAAAATCTGGATCTGCTCATGCCACGATCTGAATAGTGCTAATTCGACATCGCGAGAATCGACAAACAACTCGAAGTAGTGAAAGAAGTATAAAGAGTGCAAGCGAACAGCTGAGTGATACTTGTTTCTACCGTCATACATTGTAGGGACACGAAATTACCTACCAGTTCAGCAATAGGAGCGTCAATCACCGCCTCGAGAATCGTGTTCCGATAAACACTCATTGCAGCCACAACCGTTGTCAGATCACGCGACGTCCATCTGAAGAAGGGAATGAACAGATCGAGTCCTATCCACAGAAGTACGGTGGATTCGAACTCGAACTCACCTCGTGTCGACGACAATATGAGCACTATTCAGGTTCATTTTCAGCGACACTTGTGCATGGCGATGACGTGACCAGCCGCGACCGGTGATGTTGTCGATGTCACGCTTCTCGACATTGAGATGGGTGACCTGAAATGTTCTATATGAAGACATGGTCTGTCTAGATGAGTACTTCTTGGTATAGATGTTACTAAAAATTCATGATATCTCGATGTTTCTCACTTTTTCTATCTGCCTATCAACATGGTTCTTTATGGTCGTGCACACAGCCCTCAACCGAATTTGTTCAAGTGCATCGCATTGGTCAATAATCCGGAGCAGTAAGTGATCCGGTAGCCGTGGCTTAGTCTCTTCCTGAATTCATCCATATATTCGTAATTCTTTAGCGCTTACATTATGATGTACTTCGTATTCAAATCAAATTCTGGGATAAAAACAACCTAGCTAGGGCTAAGAAAGATAGTAGTTTGTACAGATAGTGTTACTTGTGTTCCTTACTCTCTCTGTGTTCTCCTGATTTTTACGGTGTCGCAACGACAGACGACGAATTAACTGTAGCGGCATAATTTTTTCACGAATAGTATTCAATCTAGACGATTGAAGATTGATCTGAAATATATGCGAGTTTGTTTTCGGCACCAAAAGCCAGATGCAACCTGGGAATTTCCCATGAATGCGGGAAAAAAATAAACAAATAAGCCGCACCTAGAGAGATTCTAAGAAACTGCAAGTAAATAGAGAAGTTTTGTAGGCGATGCTGACCAATACAAACACGAATCATCGGCGTCCGTTCGCCCATTCATTGGCAAACAATGTAGGAAGCAAATAATTTACGTCAGAAGTAGAAAGTCGTAGCATTCCATTTGAACAGATCACCATTGAGAAAACTGAGGGCATTGTTAAGGTATAAAGGATAAAAGGATAAAGCTCTCGGTATTCATCAGTCGCTGAGGAACGCCATGAATTCGACTTCACTAAGCATCTTATGTATCCAGCCAATGCTGCTACCCTCCCAGACAAGTCTGGTACCAATTTGCCAATCCCGGAGGGATGGAAGGCTTGGTAGGCCATGGGCGCTAGGATCGATCCCACGTATGTGTTGCAGGGCGCTTCCAACAACTGCGCCACACGCGCCCGTATTGTTGAGGTAGGTGTTACAGAATCGTACTTTTCGAAGCTGAAAGAATATTCAGCAGTGTTCTGCATCGAACAGTGTAAACTGTTCAGCCGAAATTTGTTTAATTTACTCAAATTTACGTGTGCACTAATTTACAGCGAAAGATTACGGTACACGTATATGATTCACAAAACCATGATGATGACGAAACAGGACGTTCTATGCAGTGATCGATGCAGGAAATCGTGGTCGATCTATCTGAATAACTCTCAAGTATCACAGTGGAGAAGAACGACACATCGGCAACGGGTAGGGGTGAACACACAGGACGGTCGCCGACTCACACTCATTACGAATGAGACAGAATTCTGGTACGAGGGCGTAGACGATCCGTCATTCACCACGGTCACTCATTCTGTGTCTGTTCCAACCAATACTCGCCATAATTGACAAATCACTTCAGAACTCACCTGTCGACAACACACCATTTTTCCACTGTTGGTCTGGACCACTGCATCATGAGTCAATCAGATATTACAATATGATCGATGCTAGTCAACCATATATGAAAAACGTTATGCTACAAATCTGGCTTATTCAACCTTCAGAGTACTCAGGATAACGAAGAATTTCCCCGATTGCTCGGAGACAAGATGTTTAGTTGTCAAAATAGATCACACTGGGGTTATAGGACTAGGCAGTCCCAAAAAAAGACCACTTTACTCATATAGTTGTACGCAAGTGAAAAGCTGAAGGGTTTAGCACAATACCATTCTCATATTTTGTCGCAAAATCGAACCTAAGAGTGAAAGACAATTAATCTTAGCTTAACCCAGGAGAAGCGAATCGCTAAAGAATGCTTTAGAGAAGGTAACTCAGAATACTTGGTCGAATGGAAACCAAACACAACCAAGTTTTAAAAAATACAGAGGGAAATGTCTCTCATTTCACATCGCGCACTAAGCGCTTGGCAGGTGAGTAAAAAATACAGAGACCCTCGTGATTGGAAGAAACCTGAGATGATAAGACAACTAAAACAAAACTAAACAAGTACACCTAAGTAACCCAAAAAGCCAATTCTGAAAAGTGATGGATAAAGATGCGGATAATATTAAAGAACGAACTGGTAGATAAAGCAAAAAGACTGGAAAATTGTTAGGACTACAAATAAGGATGACCGAAAAGCAGCGATGAGCGATAGTTGGTGATAGGAGACAGCTGTTAGTGCCAAGATAGTCGGCTTCTAGAGAACAACGTTCGGCATTGTTTGCATTGCTTTTCTCTTAGCAGTCACCGGAACGAATCGTTCTTTCGGTCAGAGATAACTAGTAATGCAAAAAACAAGTAGAGAACAGGAACTAGCAGTAACAGGTTTTACACTATGGAAATAACCGTACGACTAAGCCTAGTTAGAAAAAAATGGAAATCCCCATTCGATTTGATTTCAAATCAGTGTTTGGCCTTTGTGCTAAGAACTGTTAACACACAAGGCCTGAGATGCATTGTATACAATGCAAGTGGGGTAGAAATAATGGCTGCTTTTAGCTTTAAATAAATACGTTTCATCCCATATTCAGTCTTATTTAAACAATTTTAATACTACATGGTCCGACATCATATGTTACCACACTGTGCGAACCGCAACATTTCTTGCATTCGATTCGTCACTTCACAACTACCGCCCATGAAGGTCTTTGAACTTTTTGCGTTTGGGTTCGGGTGTTGATGGCTGATTTTTTCGCCCCTGTCATGAAGGTTATTGAATGCTGATCGAGTCGATTCTCCCTGGAACCCAAAGATGGCAGCGATATCCACGTTCGCAAGCGGATTAGAGGGAGCCAGCTTGTGCCAGACAACTCTGGTATCTACTCCTGATCCCAGAGAGATGACAAGCTTGATGGACACGGGATTGAGCCAGGACTTGGACGCATTGGCCATCTGCGTAATGAAGAGGATCGCTACCAATGCGCTATCTGCCCCACGAAACCTCATTAATTAGAAAAAAAAGTATTGAAAACTGCAGATCTTTGCCTACAAGGCACAAGCTATTCTGTTCTGTCAAGACGAAATTCTGACTATGTAGAGCCTCGGAAATATAATTCATTCGCCCTGTTGTTTAAAGGCCCGGACCTCGAAGACAAAAGCAAAGGAACAAGAGTGCGTCCGTCCAAAAGAACATGAAGGTGCTCCCCAATGCACTGTCTCTGTTTGCAAGTGCTGTTCTTGCGCTGGGAGGCTAATTTGATCAAAGCCTCTGGAATCCAGATCTTTGTCAATAAGATGCCAGCTTACGTAGGCCGTAACTCAAGCGGCTGAGTGAAGCAGAACTGATCCTAGCAGAAGACTAATCCCTATGAATCCATCGTTTTTGCTTGTAACTCCCAACTTTGCATTAGGAAAACAGAGAATTTATTTCTCGACTACGTTTACTTTTTATTTATTACCTAATACAATTCTTCATGGCAGGGTATTATGCGAAATACAATCTCGGTGACGCTGAGATATTTGCAAAACTTCGGACCGCAGGTTTCTGCGGTGGGGAACGAACGCGCTGTTGCCCTTTCTGTGGAGTAATGCGCTCACCACCACACCATGCGGGTCCTTCGTTTCGCCTGTCTTTCAGCTAGTTTTCTATCGATCAGTGCCATCAGCAATCACCCGTCAACGAGATTAATCTGGAGAGCCCACATCGGCATTGAAGCCAGTTAAGCTGACGCTGTAGTTGAAATGACAATGATTACTTTTTATTTACTTTTTATTTTCTGCCTACTAGCAATGCGAATGTTGTAGAAGATTGAACCCACTTAAGCCGATGCTGTTGTTGAACCGCATGGTGTGGTTGTGAACGCGTTAGCCCTCAGAAAGGCTTATAGCGCGCTCGTTCCCCACCGCAAACATCTACGGTCCAGAGTTTTGCAAATATCTCAGCCTCGTATGTTTGTGTTTCTAGATATTTCTTTGAAAATCTGCACCTTAAAAAAAATTTAAAATAAAAAGAAAAGCCCAGAATTAAAACAATATTCTAGAGCAATCGTACACTGTCAGACCGATAGGCCAAAGTGTCATTTAGAAATAGTGAAGTCGTTCAAGTTCTCAACACCTTAAGTAGTCGAGTTAACATCGATAAATTATCGGCAGTTGTCGAAAAACTCACCACCGTTCCGCGAATCTTCTACGGAAACACCTCTGTTCAAGGCATTCCATCATGAAAATCAAATTTCTCACAGGATAAATCAAATCGGAAAGAAGTAACAAGTGGTGTTTACCATTCTGCAAACTGCAACAGTAGCCATAAAACACTGACAATGGTCTCTTTTTATTTTACCTAGTAAAAGGTGTACTCAGGTAGATAACCGCCCACGAAGACTAGAATATTATACACGCCTTCCAATGGGACGTTCGTGTTTACGGCGATAATACTGCACCGCTCTGAGTGTTATTTTCCCGAAACAGATTTCGAAGCGAAAGTGTCCCGCGACGAAATTCCTTCTGACGAACTACCGTTCCCCAGCGCGTAAGTGGGAGCTACGGAAAAACACTCTCTAACTGAGAATCCAGGGGACGGATAGCACAGAGGTAGTGATCTCCGTCATCACGAGCACGGTGCTATTTCGATTCCGCTGCGGGCCAACCAAGACTCTCATTTCTCTGGTGTAGGCAAATTGGTACCTGACTTGTCTGGGATAAAATCACTCTCTGCAATCCAATTGGGAACGTTCCAGTTCGGATATCTCTGGACTCGAGGAGGAATTGCTTGACAAGCATTCTAGGATTTCAGACTTTGTGCAGCATTCTACGACATTCAAGACGAAATGGAAATCTTTAAGCAGTAACCGAGGCCATATGACAAAATCTAGAAGGTCTTCGTGAACAATGGATGCGAGGAAACGAATCGAATGTGAGAAGTGCTGGGATTAAATAAAATAAAATAAAACTGAAAATCCATAGACAGGACTCAATATGATGCCAATGTTGATTCACTGTCAACTAAATAACATGTACGGTTTGTCCCTACGCTCCATCGCTTCTACTGTTTGACGTCATTTCACGCCAAGGATTTGGTGCTATTAGCGCGTCGTCGCGGACAGAACGCTAAAAATAATGTCTGCCGGAAACGTCCTGACCATGTCAACGACAGAGCATTGGCGCGACATCTAAAAATAACACAGGTGAGGGGCGGAAGTTTGTGAAAATATCCCTTCGTCGAGATAATTTGGTAGACGTGAATCGAAAAAGTATATTAGTAGAATTTCTACAATAACCAGTGAAATAACACCGATAAATGGAACACACAAGCTGAACGCGATCGTTCTTACACTCGACATGAATAATTCATTAGCAATTTCAAACCAGCTCCCAAGTTCCAGACAGTGTATTGAAATGAAGGTGTTTATTACAACTTCTTCTGCATGATATGTGGGTGGATAAGTGTGCTGGGTTGGCGGTA